AGAAAATAGATTTCAAGATTTCTAAGATTTTAGAGAATCAGAACCACGATTTTTACCGAAGGACAAATTTCATACCTAAAAAAGATGTATGTTTATAGCAAAACATATTTGGAAATAACCATTTTAAATACTAAAAAAAATAAGTTAGTCAAGTTTATGATAACATTGTTTCAAGAAAATGAAAAATGGAAGTAGACTCAAAATAGAACTTCTTTACTCATATTTGTCCCATCATCAAATAAATAGTCCTTCATGCTCATTAGCATTATCAATCATCTTCCTATAGGCTAGCTCCTGAAATTCACAATAGGAAGAATAGAAATTAAAACGTAACACGACAATCATAATCAAGAATTATTTCCTAATAGATAAAAGGTTGCATGATAATTTTGGGAAATTAAGAGTATTACAAAGAGTCACAGAAGGATAAAATTTGTATTAAGTCCTGATAGCCAAGAATTACCCATTTACAACCTTAATTTCTTTTTCTAATTAGTAGGAGCATATTAAGAAAATCGATGTGAGCAATTATCTCATGATCAATTGCTCTAGACTCAATGAATCATGAGTCTTGTGGTTCAATTTTTTATTACAAAAAATAATTATTCTAGCTTCTTGTGGCAAAGAACGAGTGAGGGGAAATTATGGAGACTGAATGAGTTTTTAACTTTTTACAAGTATTATATTTATTCCTTTGGGAAAGGTGATGTTTCAAAGTTGATGGATTGCTCATGAGAATCTTCAGTAATGGTCGTGTGCCATGGTTTTTCGCAATGGCCACATCCTTTTTTTTTAATTTTTTCTCCCTTAACAGCTAAATCCCTAATAGAATAGAGTCAAATTTTCAGCTTCATAATACATATTGGGTGTTATCTGGCTCGTCATAAACTTCTTTATATATTCTTTCTATCTAACCTCATGAAAAACTTCACAAATAGATAACAGATCTTTCACTTAGCATTCTTCCCTTCAGTTCATCTAGGTTATGATTCATTCTGACAAGAACATGCAAACACAATCATTCACCATTCTTTTTGGAACCTTGCACAATCATTTGAATTATCCCGTGCATCTTCATGGCATTGTTCCTCAATGTCACCATCTCCTTGCAATACATGATAACTTCCCACTGTCCTTGTTTAGATCGACAAAACCTTGATTTTAAGATTAAAATTAATGGGAGTTCGTTAACTCTGAATAGGCTCAGGAATAGCATGTCAAACATCCATTGTGGTTGGAAGGAAAATAGAAGTTTTTGCAATAATTTTCTCCATCAAATTTGGGAGCCAAGCCATCACTACGGAGTTCTTTGATATCCATGTCATGAATGTTATAACATTCATGATTGGTTTTTTTTACCTCCCACATTAAGCAACCTAAATTTCTCCTATCATCATAGCAAATTTGCTGTTGGAGATCACTCCAAATAATTATACGATTTAGTTTATCAATGCATATTCAGAGAGAGTTGGAGAAATTGTGAGCATTGTTGACTATAGTAAAGTATTTTGGTCGTACTTAGAATAGAAAGTAATCGTTGTAAGGTCTGATCATATCACCCACATCATCAGGTTTTATTTAAAAGGTGGTTGTCCTCTGATGCTCCATCCAATCTATGCTTGTCATGAACTATTAGGAAACACAACCCAAATCCTATGCTTTTATAATATGTAAATTTGGAGATAAAAATATACTTTTCTAGATTTATTATTAATCAAGAAGAAGAGTACAATATTTATAGGATATTTGATATCCATATACAATTACATAAAAAAAGGTGTAGAATGAAATGTTCAAAAACTTGCAAAAGAAAAGAAGTTACAATTTGAAATTCAAATAAATAAAATCTTCCAATTAATAGTGACAACCATTCATTCATTCCTTTCAAGAAAAGTTGCTCCATGCAACAATGATCACTTTCCTTGCTGCTTCAAATCCAAGTAGTGGCCCCTTGGTCCAATTCATCATTTTCCTATTTTCCACAAGATGCACATTTGCTTTGAAAATTTCAGAATGAAATGTTTGAACAACAAACGTTCCATGACACAGCATCGACTTAATGACTGGTTGAAAAACAATCAAATCAAAGCTTAGATTGGTCCAGCTACCCTTCCTCACAAAAGTAAAGCAAGGTTAAGGATGAGGGAGAGAGCACAAGCAACAATAATGCCCCAAACTATAAGGTGGTGTGGATGCCCATCTACTAACACATGTTAATAGGTATCATCATAAATAGATGTCTACAATTGAAAGTTAAGTTATTATGCCAACACTGAACCATTTCACAAGCCATCCATCTATGATTGTTCCTCTTGAAAAGAGTAACAATACCATAGAGATTCTCTCTTATTCGTTGTCAAATCTAATCAGAAGACAACAAATCTTCTCATAATTATTCAATCCAATCAAATAACATTTTTCCTATTGATCAATAATCCACATCATTGCGCCACCATAGCATCCTTGAATTGTTAAAGGCATCATAGCCACCGGCCATCAATATAATGTCAAGGGTACTACGACTCGTCTAAAAAAATCCTACATGAATTTGATCTTTAGATTACTAAACATTGAAACATTTATTAAAGATTAGCCAGAACCTTTAAATTATTTAAATGAACTAACCCAACTAAAACTATAAATAAGCATTTTCGTTATTCGTTTGGGGAGATTGATTGATTAAAACGTTGTAGGAGAGCTTTAAAAACTATAAGAAGTTTTGCTCAATGTCCAAGAATCACTCCAAATTAATCAAAAACCTACATAGTTTATCAATCAACATCTTCTACTCATTGACTTCCATTTATTAATTAGCATCTTGAATTAATCAACTTCGCATAAAAAAATAAAAAATTTAATAACGTCAGCTAACTTGTTTTTATTTTTTTCATTTGATATTTTATTCTTAAAACAGTGGCAAAAAGAGGAAATATAAAACGAACTTAAATATAGTACAATTATTCAAATAGGCAAGGTCTTAAGTGTTTCTTCCCCCACAATTTTTCATGAAAAATCATTCACTCTTTACTATGAGTTGGAAACCTCCAAGTAATGGTGAAAAAGTCATCAAATTACATCCCTTAGAAGCCTCTCCAACATGCAAATAAGGATACACCATATAAATAAGATAATATCATAGAGATTTATAAATTATCAAAAAAATTCAATAGGATAAGCTATGTTATATTGATTTGAATGTTAAAAAATAAAAATTACCACCCATAACCAAGTTGAGCAACACAAAAATAAAACTGCTACAAAGGATATGTGGCTAAACTGAGAAGGATATAATAAGGAATGATTATATTAAGTAGAAGATGTGGATAACACCTATTAAATTTAAAGTAAAGATTAAAAAAAAAAATTGATTATGTAGCATGGCCAAATGAAGGTAAAATATTTAGAATGTAAATATATCAGTAAACAAAGGCAAAACCTAATGCATTTTCAAATAATAACAATGAAGATTGAAGATTTATAAGACTGCCCAATTACATTAGATTAAAGACTCTTGAATAAATCAACCTAAATTTGAGTTTGAACATTTTGATTTGGTTGCAACCAAGCTTCTGTCAACATGAAAATGACAATTCAAATCAAGTTTATAGGTAGATCTTAACCAAGCCTATTATGTGATGTGACAACTATACAAAAATCAAACCCCAATCAAATAGAGCAAGCCATAGGGGCAATGCGCCATTGCCATGAATAGCATAAATAGTGCGCATCATTTTAGGAACATGTGTCATGCCATGCAAATGGCACCACACCGTTCCGTGTGCCATGGCGTGTGCCATTTGGCATTATTAAAATGTATGCAAGTAATCTTAAATTCTAATAGATCATTGGGCATCATTCTATATATATTCTATGTAACATATTTTCTATTTTTTCTATAATAATTGCAGCCAATTGCCCTGCTGTACTCATAAAATTTTCTAAATATTAAATTACAATTTATGTACACTCACCTTCATATATATTCATATATATATATACACTAACCTACATATCTTTATTGTACCTTTACAAACAACTACCTTAACCTCATGGATTGCTGACCGGCTTGTTGTCCTAAAATTAGTGGTGTTAATGAGTCAATTCAACTTGTGAGCAACTCGGGCTCGACTCGATAAATGACTTGTGAGCCAAGCTTGATGAGCTAATGAGCCAAGCTTGAGCCAGCTCTGACTAGACTAATTAGCTCGTGAGTCAGCTCATTTAAAAATATTAGTATAAAAAGCACTTAAAATATATTAGCATTCGAGATTTTAAATAAAAGGTTGTTAAAAATATGTAAAACTTATCTTTCACTTCATAATATTAAGAAATTTATCATTAATTGCTTTTAATTTCTCGTTATTTCTAGCATTTTATTATAATAATTGCTTAAATCACAATCATTTTTTCTCTTTCATAATAAATAAGTTGGCTTGTGAGCCGAATCAAACTCATAGAACAAAGCTCGAGCTCAAGCTCGAACACGATTAATAAATCAAGCTCAAGTTCAAACTAAATGTGACTAAAGCTCAACTCGACTCGCTTACAACCCTACCTTCCATCATGATAAATTCTTCACAGTTGAGAAAACTAGTGGACCTATTACTCACTCCATTTGATGCTCCATTATCTATGACCAAGCCTCTTTGGAACAAACAAATAATGGTACTGTGACCCTTGTTCAGCAATCACTCTCTCCACCTTCATTAACCACCCCAAAATCAAAAAACACACCACTGATGATCGTCAATTTATTTTCACCAATATTCTGGTTGACATAATAATTCCTTTGACCTGAATTTCAAGACACGCAAAACCAACCTTAAGCAGCAAAGAAGAATCAACCAAAATGGGACTGAATTCAAATTCAAGTCACTGTTCACTGAGAGGCCTTTTTCTACTCTTAGAAAATGACAAATAACACACATCTCACACGGGAAACAGAATATTCAAGTAAAAATCCATTAACACATTGTTTTGGCAGAGCACATATAAACTTATGAAATATAATCAAGCAATGAGACTAATTAAATTAAAAAGATAAAATTGTTCTATTTTACAAGTGCAAAGCATGCTCACCACAGCATGAAGCCATGAACAATTATCATTTAATACTCATACAAGGAAAACTTACAGCAGTACTACAGCTAACCAAAATTGTAACAATATAACCAATATAGAGAAGGAGATGGGCAGATACAAGAGAACAGAACATAAATTTGATTCCAGACTCGTACCAGTACAGAAAAATTTTCTCCATTGCATGGAAATATGCAGAGTCATGGTGGATGAACAATGAAGCTTTACCTCTTGCCTCCAAAAATTTTGCCCAGAAGTACCCATGAAATAGACAGCTAAATACTTGAAAAATCAACTTCACTCCCTACTTTCTCCGAAGTTTATCTCGTCTAACTTTCACAATTTTTCGTGAAGACTTGTCACCACCTCCACTGCCCAAAGAAAAGCTCCCTCCTGGTGCAAAATCCGGGTTAACTCCTGCCTGAAATGGATTTGGATTTTGAAGGTTTTGAGTATTTTGTTGGCTGTTAAATTGGAAGAGAGATGTTCCGCTAGAAGGCGCTGCAGCACCAAACACAAAATTTGTATATGGGGTGCTGTTAGGTTGACCAAAAGTAACAGGCACAGGAGCTTGGTTTGTGTCATCAGCCATGGTGTCCTCAACACTCATCTGGTCATTATTCTGTGATGCAGAACTAAAACCACCGGATGTGCTTCTCATTTCAAAGAGAGGTGTGGCTGTTGCAGCTGACACACTGGCACTAGAAGAAGCAAATGAAAAAGCAGGTCCTGATAAAGAACCAAAACCAAATGAGGAAACACCTGACGCAGTAGATTTAAGTCCAAATGAAAAGCCTGATGGTGAAGAACCAAACTGAGAACTAGAGATGGAAGATGATGAACCTAGAGAACTGCTACCAAACAAACCCGAAGTAGCTGCGGGTGAAAGAGTATTACCATCTTGACTAGAAGAACTAGCACTAGGAGAAAAGGAGAAACCAGAATTTAAAGGACCAGAGCCAGTTGTAAAGGTGAGCCCAGAACTTGAATTTGATGCACTGGCAACAGAGGCAGTAACAGAAGGAAAGGAAAACCCTGAACTTGAACTGGCAGAAGAAGCAGGGGAAAAAGAGAAACCAGAAGTTGAACCAAAAGGTTTTGCACTTTGGTTTGTAATGCCAAATGACACCTGCCCAAATCCTGGTGAAGATGAACTATTCGACCCAAATACTGAAGCTGAAGAGGTACCAAATGCTGACAAGGAAGAGCTGGCCAACCCTAATGTGGCAGATGAAGAAGAGTCCGGTTGAGTTGTTGAACTCTGAGAGAAGAGTGAATTACTACTACCAGATTGGGCTGGCTGAACACCAAAGATTGACCCCCCTATAGCACCAAAATTTGTGCTGGACTTCTCAGAGCTGCTATTAGCAGCATAAACACCTGTGCTATTGGTCTGAACAGAAGCGCTAGTACCAAATAAACCACTACTGTTAGTTGACAATGAAGGTGATGCAGCAAAAGCAGAGCCACCGCTAGATACCCCTGAGAAAATATAAGGCACTACTGATGTAGAATTTGTAGACGTGCTCATGCTTGAAGAAGGCAATGCTTCGACAGAGGGAGTACCTCCTGAGCCAGGAAAGGAGGATAACCCCATTAAATAAGTATTACTGTTTCCTGTACTTAAAAATGATGAGGCAACCAGTGTGGTGGGAGAATTAAATGATCTGAATGGTGATTTGTTAGAAACCTTTTCTTCTGCATCAACAGAGTTTGATTTATCTGATGATAGAGAAACTGAAACAGGTACAGCTGTTGAGTCAGCTCTAAAATTTAAAGTAATGGCAGAGGAAAATGCAGGTAAAGTGGATGAAAGTGGTGGACTGCTTGAACTGGCGGCTGCCAAATTACTGTTTGATGAGAGTAAACTCATTGGCAACCGAGGATTTGAATCTGGTGTAGAAGCTGCTAATAAAGATGGCAATGAAGATGAATGTACTGAGCCATTACTCTGGGTTGAAGTAACTGATGCGCCAAAAGAACTGACTTTAGCACCACCCAATGCTAACATGCCAGTTGAAGCACCTATTCCAGGAAATTTGTGCAGACTTTCTGCTTCATGCTTACCACCACTGAGAAGGCTTGACCTTTCCAACTGAATCTTTCCATCAGGACTACAAACAGAAGAATAACAAATAGATTAATAAATTCTGCAACAAGTTATACAGAAGAACTAAACTTACTGTGATTAGAATTTACATAATTTTTTCTTCAATTAAATAAACATATTTCTAAAAGCTAGTTTGGATTTTTCTTGCTACCCTTTTAAAACTTAGTATGCTCCTAATTCCTGGTACAAATACAACAGTGCACAAAAGGAACAGAGAATATTTGGGAGTTAATCCTAGTTCTTGCAGTTAAAGAAAACCCAGTAGACATACCTATTCACCCCAAATTTTTAGTTTTCATCTCAACTAAACAGAAACCAAAATGCAAATTTATGGTTATCTCAGAGAATATGTTAAGATTTTCTAAAGTGCCAAATATCCAACGAAAAGCTTGATTAAGTGATTCCGAATTAATCAAGCCACATGCATACATGTAGCCTAGAAAATGATAAAAGGTCTACTGTTAACAGTTTCAAGAATTAGTGCTACCTAAGACTATAGTTATCAAGTAAGATTCCAACATATGGTCCATTAAAGTGTTACAGTACCTACAGAATCAGCAGAACCTTCAGAGCAAAAGAAAATCTTAACCAGACACAAGATAAAAGCAAAGAAACAAATTATAGTATGTTTTCTAGCAAAAAAAAAAAGAAAAGAACTTCCATAAGGTGGCTGACCTTTGGTCTGGTTTAGATTCAATAAGGGATTCCTTAGCCACAGAACCAAACATAAATGGAGGAACTACTGTTTGTTCAGTTCGAGTCAGCGGCTTATCATGAGATTGGGAAGGCATAGTTGGAGTGAGAGATGGCGAAGAAAGACCACTGGACTTAGTTGCAACAGGAAATCTAAAACTGTTCTCCTTTTCAGAATTATGAGAAGCGTCATAGGCATCCTTAATTTCTGTAAAGGGTATGGAACTGGAAACGCTCAAACTCTTTGAGGATGGAAATGGCACCTCCAGTGCTGACACGCCAGAAATAGAAGCTTCAGTTTCTGCAAATTTAGACTCTGTTTTAACCACATTCACGATTGATTGAATAGATTGAATAGAAACATCCACTGCTTCTTCTTCTTCATCAAGCTCAAGCAAATCCTTTAAAAAACATGAACAGAAGATTAACCACAAGGTAAATAAGCATTGATCATTCAAAACTTTAAAAAGAGAAATGCAACCATTACATCAAGAAAATGAAAAAAATCAACATATTTCAAACCTCCGGGGCAGTCATTTGGAAAGCTGGCTTCTTTTTTGAAACAACTGTAGCAGGAAAGGTATTGGGGATGTCTGCAGAACAAATACTGGGTTTGGCAACCATTGCAAATTTAACTCCTTGAAAATCCAACTTTGAAGAGCTATCTTCCTGTGCCTTGCCCAGCTTTTCTAATTGAGAACCACCATGTTTTTGTGGATCCTCTGCATTTCTTAAATCCGGAGTACCAAATTTATCCGTACTTAAAAATTTGGAGGTATCAACATTCTCCATGCTTCTAAGCGCTCGTCCATTTAGCATATCATTGGTTAGCTTTGAGGGTGATTCATCCATGCCCATAGGTTTCATAATAGACTTCTTCTCTGGTGGTGTAAATTTATCAAGTTGTTCCAATATTTTTCGACTTGTCTCAATTGAATGCCCTGGAACCGGAGGAACATTATAAGAAAATATTTTATCATTCCTATTTTCATCAATTTGTAAACCTGAGCTGGCATGCTTTAGTTCATTCAGTGAAGAAGGCTGACGAGATGAAGTAGGATCCAAATCCTCTTTATCAAGTTGGAGTAAAGGAAATCCTCTAGAACTACTTGGAGATGCAAACCGTGCATTAGCTGCAGAAATTAGACCAGATTTCTGACGAATCCTACGAATAGGGCCAAAAGATCCATACTCACTATCTAAAATTGAACTACTCCGTTTCAAGGCCTGCTCAAACAAATGAAAAATAAATCCAACGGATTGTCATGAATATATGTACCAAATCAATACTCTAAAGAATCATGCTAAGAAAGTTAACTAAACCATACTGTCAAAAAACAAGCATAATCTGCAACTAAATAGCTACAGGAAATTAGTGAAAAGTATAATTGCATTTGAACATGTAAGTTGGGCATAGAGATGCAATATCACACCTCACACACAAGCATGCACATGCACATATATATGCATATCTAGGCATACAAATAAACACATGAACTGGAAATATGACATTAAACTAAGATTCATTTTAAATGGCAGTCTAATTATGTGGCCACATAGCAGCACACTTTTTTGCATTTTGAGAAGAAATCCATAATGTAACATGAGGCCTATATTAAAGAGCAAACAAGAAATAACAAAAAAAATCCTTTCACCAGATGCAATGTCACTCATGTAATTATAGCAAGCCACTAACCAGGAAGAAGATCAGATTCCAAAGCATCTCAAAAGCTAAGGGTACAAAGATTCCACCAATCAAACATAATTGAAAATAGGATTGTTAACAATCACATATCAAGCCAATTTGAACCCAACTTAAGAAAATTGTGCAGCTGTCACAAGACCAGCTGTTCTTAACCAGATTTGATGGGAGAGGCTGCAGGTCAGTTAATTGCTTTCATTGTGTAAATGCAGGTACATGAATTTAGAAATGAGACACCGAGACTGAGGGTTGAAGAGGAAAACTCTAAAGCTTTTTAACAAGATTGATATGGCACAATGCTATTTAAAACATCAGTTGCCACAAGAACAATTTTACAGACAAAATCAAATAGCTGCAAAGAGGGAAAAATAATTAAATGCCTGCAGCAGATGCAAATGGATGGTCACCAACTCACATTTGCATGGTAACACAATTATGACTATAGTAAGGACTGTCCCAAATGCAACCCAGCTTCCCCTCTAAAGCTAGTGTATAACCGGCTTTTATAGGAATTTAAATGAAAGGGCAAACCATCTTTGCTTTTTTCCGAATACCATGCAATCATCAAGCCATGCTAAAAACAATGAAATTAAATTAACAAGAACAAGAATGATGAAAGAAGGGTAGGCACTACCTGTCGGCCATCAGATTTTGAAGTGCTTCCTGGGGTCCCCTGAGAAGAAGCAGGAGCATTACTAAGAGTTGTATATTTACTCGCCTAGGATAATAAAACAATCGAATATGAAAGTTAACACAAAAAATCATGAAAAATATGCATTACAATCAAAGCTTGACTACAATGGAAAATAAAAACAGCATATAGAAGTTTGAAAACAGACCATCTCATTTATTGCCGGATCGACCTTGAAATAAGGAGAGCGGGACATTTTATACATATCAGATCTTCCACGAGGTTTTGGAGTAGGATAACCTGCACCTGAAAGTTCAGGGGATTCCGAAAAGCGCAAAACAGATCTGGGCATAACTGGCAGGCCATGTGGTTTTGTCGCAGAAGGCCCAGAAAAAGGTGAACTTTTATCTTCCCGAAATCCATGGCTCTGCAAACCAATAGCTGAAGAGGATGCTTTTGGGAGTCTAGAACTCATGTATGCTTTAGCGATTTCTGCAGGAGAAGCAGCCACAGCCTGAGAAATCTGCAATTCACCAACAAAAATGTACTGCATTAACTAAAGAAGGATGCACGGGCAATTATTTGTAGCAAATAATTCATTCTATCTAAAATGTTGTTTAAAATCCTAAGGAGGAAAGTAAACGAATTTTCTACAAGACCGCTCAAAGAGGTAGAGTTACAAATTCAAAGAAAGAAATATAAAAAATAAATGCAAAAAACAAAATAAAAAACAAAAAAAATTTGATAATCCTCCTTATTGCCTGTGAACTTAACTTCATATAATGAGCAATAGCAGAATATTTGGATGATTAAAATCAGAATTGTTGATATGCATTTATGTATGCAGGTAATAATGTTGTTCACAAAAACAAACCAGTCCCAATTCCTTGTTACAATTAGCACAGCATTAAAAAGCATCAGCTTAATAAAAGTAAAGTCAACATGGGCAACTTATATGAGAATGCAATGCAAATAAGCATGGGAACTTGATGACAAAAACAATTGGTGCCAACTAAAAAAACAATTCCAATCATAAAAAACATTATGTTTTTAACCTCTCAAATCACCTGTCAAACCCACTATTTAAAAGTTTGTGCAACTAACTTGCTAAACACATCTAACAGCATTAATTACAAACCCAACTCGGCATAGTTCATCCTGCAACAAAAATCTGAAATGCATTCACAAATAAGAAACCATCAACCCATAAACTTAAAAAGTTCAAGGTGCGTAGCGTTTTACTTGGACAGTGAAAGGAATGGATAGATTCATACTTCACTGTTTTCATAAAATAGCACATGAATCCATAGAATAGTTGGACCAGGTAATAACCAGCAAACACAAATAAGATGCATATCTACACTTCTTAATACACACTAGTGTGCACAAATGCATACAAAGGGCTAAACGAATAAACCCCATACTCATTTCAGCATGTACAAATTCCATCTGTGCACAGAAACCAGAATACTTGCAAAATCGGGGAACATCAACACCCAGTCACCTTGTGTACAGAAATAAATGAAAAAGAATAGAAACGGGAAATAAATGCAATCATTCAAGCATTCGCATCCTCGATCAGGGATATTAATCAATAAGGCATGTTACAATATATGTTGAATGAAACCTAATTATTCCAAGAAATAGATGATACCCCTTTAAAGAATGGAGTATTAAGGTCATGATGCCTTGAAATTTGAGAAAAGGATAGCTTGATTTATGATGGATAAAGATTTAGTATTTCACGATAACCAAAAAAATGCCGCAATCATGAGCATAATTGCAACAAAAGGCAAGCATCTTACATTTAAAGGACTCTCTGATATTGATAAATTTCTATTAAAGCTGGAATTTCCGACACCAATTCTATTGTCCGAAACAAGGACTTTCTCATTATAATTTTCTGATTCTTGTCCGGTTGGCTCCATAGCTCTTGAACATATTAATCCTGTCAGATAATCAACCTGAGCCCTGTTGAAAAAGTAGCTTTCAAAGGATTATTTAAGATGAAATAAAAGGCAAATACAGTAGAAGAAATGTAAATTTCAAACATGCACATGAATAATTGCAACAGGGTCTAAAGCAGTTTGACTTTAAAATGCATGCTTGTTAAGAGTTCCATTATTTCAGACAAAAAAATAAAGTACCTGAATAGCAACATGTTTTAACTTCCCAAGAAAAAAGGAAGGAAACTAATTTGGAGAAATTTAGTACAGTAATAAATTTGGAAGAAAATTCAAGAAACTGGGAAAACAAAAAAAAAAACTAAAATGATACTCAAATAGCTAGCATAACAGACTAAAATTACCGGTTTTCAATCAGAGTGAGTATTATGAAACATGATATCTAAGGAGGTTCACAGAAGACTTAGCAACACATACCTCGTATATTTATTTTGTTTCAGTAGTTGCTCAATCTCAGAAATTCCATGAGTCTCAAGATTCTTTGTTGGGTTGTGAGCATCAACTGCTTCTTGGATCTGGGATTCACTCGGAGGCTGCACCATGAAAGTTTGGTGGCAAATAAGGAATTTTAAAGAAATGAGAATTTTCTCTCAAAAAATTACATTCAATTGTAAAATTGAAAGGGAAAATTTCCAAAAGAGTCCACTATTTGTATCCCAATTTCTCCAATTTAATTTCATCATAAAAAATTGATCAAATAATCCCTCCGATAATAAACTAAGATCCATTTTGTATCCCAATTCCCATCAATTTCTATCCAAGAAAGTACTTAAGATCAATTCTATATAATTGATAGAATAAATTGGAGAAATGTGATACTCTAGAATTATTGATTTTTGTCAGGACAATGCCAGAGCATGGCATAAATTTAATTGAACTCAAATCACTGTTCATAATTTGCGATTGGTTTTCAATTCAGAACCAGCTCTAAGCCATTCACATTAAGGCCAGCACAGCAACAATGAAGCTCTAAAATTTAGGCAAAAAGTGCTGAAAAACACGATTGGGGGATCGGAGAGGTTCACCTAGGCCCTTTGGAAAAAGGGAGTATGGGCTGAAAGCCAAGTTTTATACACATGAACTTATGATGTCCAGCCATGTAGTGAAAAAAATTAGTCTCAATAAAAGACTTTCAGATGTCAGAGAAAATAACATATCATGGTTCAGATTATACTAAAAGATCTTTACGTAAAATTGCCCAGCCAACTCTTTCATTCACATAATTTTCAGGTGACTCGGATATTGCTTGGATTGGTTCAGGTTTGGATGACAGCACTTATTTAACAAATAAATTTGGTTGGTGTTGGCAACGAACAGTAAATGTCATTTTAAGGCCAAACCCAAATTCCACCAAGTGACATGACTAGCCAACTTGGATTCTAAACTCCTTTAAAAAGATAGGATAAGCATATATAATTAACACAGAACATGACAACCATTCCAAAGTGCATCAAATAGTTCTAATGATTACAGAGTGACATGCTATAAAAGAATGGTAAAATACAAAACATAGCACAAGGAATATCTAAACATTTTTTACCTAAGCACAACAACATAAATTTCCAAGTGGAATGCAAGAAAGAAATTATTCAAATGAACTCACCATGTAAACTCAAACAAGTAAATCAAAAAATGTTAAATAAGTAAATAGTAGTGGCAGTATGAACATGAAAAAGTGCATGTCAACTACTTACAACATCAACTGGGTCAGGCACATACGGTCTAACTTGGCAGTTTTGCTCTGGGCCTACAATGCATAAATCAATAAGATGAGATTCAAGAAATACAAGTATTAGTATATAATTAAAAAATAAGTATTCAATTGATTCTAACTTCCTATTATGTCAAATGCAATATCTAACTTCACAAATATGAAACAAAAGCAGCCCTTGTGCGTAGTGGATACATTGCATATCCTATACATACATTCATGTATCCCAATAAATTGTTTACAATAGACTTCAATGCATCATAATAAATTACTACATATATGCATTTATTAGTACAAATAGCATTTTTCACTTCATTTGTTCAATGCTTGTAAATGTAAGAAAATTTATATCTAAATGAATGATTATTTTCATCAGTCAAATTTAATTATAAAATTTTGGTAAATTTAAAAATATGATAGCTTATTATTCAATTTATTTTGTATTTTATAATGCATACAAAACAATATATCTAAAAAATATTATCATAGTTAAAAAAGCATAGTGGTCTTCATACTGGCATCATACATGTAATTCATTTTTTGTAACAATGACATATTTTAGTATTATAGACTCATCATTCTCATAATAAAGGCGCAAAAAATTATATATCATTTTCTATTAAATTTAAAAGGAAACTATTTTTTTATTTCTTATATTGTTTTTTAAAAGTAAAGCAATTAAATTTATTAATTTTGAGCTATAAATTGATATCGCAACAAAATCAAAACAATCAAAAAATTCAAAACCACCAAAATTAACAACACTAGAACTTAAAAAAAAAAGATCAAAATCATAACACAAACCAACTTTAAGATACTTGGTTTAGAGGTGATAAAAAAAATAACAGTATAGCATCGCCAAAAATTTATACATTAGCAAACTTTTGTTTATTGTGAGCTATATAAGGAAATAAAGTTTTATTTTCAAAAGATGCTACATAAATAAGCTATGGAGGAAGCAGTGATAGTAAGTCTTCTATAATGAATGACAAAACTCAAACTAGAACATATATGAAAGGTGCATTTATGTTAGCCATGTGTTGATATAGAAATAGATCTGATATATGAAGTTGCATAACTTAGACAAATACACTACTTGGCGCTACATATGTTGGAGGTCAAACAGCTTCTTCTCTCACAAAGTTTAGGCTACTTATGAAAAACCTAACTCATGACAGTGCGACTTCCTTATGGGCATATCTAGTTTAGTATTTACTGAACATTCTTAATAATAAGTTGTCAATGTTGGTTATAAATGGGTTAGCTTTGTCCCATCCATACAAGCCAACGGCGCAAAATAGTGCATGCAATGGTGCATGGCGTTAGACCCGACACTATTTGTATGGTGCGGTGCAAATGTTCAAATTGTGCACGCTATCTCCCACATACATGAGTAATAGCTCATCGCACAAAAATCGCATATCACATGCTATTTTATTTTTAATGGTTTAAAATTTAAAACAGATATTTATTTTTATATTTATGAATTTATCATATATTTTGCTAATTAATAGTTCCCTAATAATGCCTTAGAAACTGAATCAGCACGCACGCTCATGATCAAAGCTCAAGAAGGCAATCTAGGTGGGGCTTCATAATATTGCGAATGCGATCCAAGCTTGGCTTCAACAATCTCAAGAAAGCAATCAAGTCTCTATTTCAACGATTGCGTATCATCTCCGTCTTGCAGCGAATTGAAGCCAAAGAGAGGTGGATCCTTGCGACTTCGAAGATCTTGGGGACACGATCCAACATAGCTTCATGGCAGATTCAACAAAACTTGTAGTCATGCAAGAAGAAACAATGCCCATCCAAGCAAGTATTCCCTTATGGTACGAACAAAATTTTCTGACTCTGGAAGTAATTGCAAGAGACTACATGCATGTTTATAAACATAAGTCCCTCTGCCACATCCAAGACAATCCTCTTCACTTGCAACAAAATTTTTCTACCCACAATTCAACGACTATAACAACAACATCAAGCCTTTATCCCACTACGTGGGGTCGGCTACATGAATCTTTTTTCTCCATTGTGTCCTATTAAAAGTCAAATTCTCGTTTAAATCTAATAAAAAAGGTCATTCCTAATATTTTCTAACCAAGTCTTTTTAGGTCTACCCCTACCTTTCTTAACAAGAACATCCTCTTGCAAATGTCTAGTGAGAACATCCACGACTAAAGCAAAAAGATATGGGCTTAAGGCTGATCCTAGATGTAACCCAATCGAAATAGGGAAATACTTGGTCAAACCACCTTGTGTTTGAACCCACAATTCAACGACTCAATTGACAAAATTATTTTGATTGTTGAAAATGGTTATTATTTTAAGTGATTAAGGTATTGTTTACTTAAACATAATTTTCACTTTGGTTGTTTATATTATCATGATGGTTTAGCTGTCAATTTAATAATATTTTTAAGTGATATATATTTTTATTTATACTTATTTAACATTATGTGTCATGTTTAAAATGACATTGATCTCACTGTGCACTACACGCTATGGTTCCATGAACTTTGAGTCATGGTGCATCATTCGTCGTTCACAAATATGATCCCATAAGAATATTTCCTAAAGGCTCACACATCACTAACACCACATTATTAACGTCTGAATTTCTGTAACTGCAAGGAAACTCCATAGTAGAAGGGCACAAATTGGCTGGTTTTAGCCACACGTACGAAAATGTAAATGGAACTACAAATCATTTCAACTAGCTTAAGGGAAAAATAATCAATCAAAAGAAGCCGCTAAAGCAATCACTAGAGTGAATCTCAACCTTGCATAAACATAGAGATCCTCCAACATCAAGGAAATTATTCAGATTCATCAATGCGTACAATAGATGCACATAGAATCTAGACTCCTAGAGTTAGCAGCTTAAAGATAGCATTTTAGTGACCAATGTCAACGGACAAACACATATTAACAGAATATCATTTAAGGTACCTAAAGATTTCAGATATCAAATCAGTTTTCATATTCCCACCCGTTTTTGATTCATCTTATTACACGAATTATAGTTGTCCTAGGCAAGCAGAGTAGATGTCAATGTAGCAAACATGTTTTTAAAACACGAATAACCAAATGAACATAACATTTAAAAATATTAGTCCAAGTTAAAGATAACTAGAGCTTGGCAATCTAACCTTCAGCTTCCGGCAAGCCCCTCAGCCCCTTACGGAATACAGATGAAAAGATCCTGGAGGCGCTCCCGGTAATGAACCGCGACGCAGGATCAACGAGCTTCGAGAGCCATCCACTTCCGCTAGCAGCCGGAGTTGCTAAACCACGTAGCCCGCGCACCGCCGATGGCGGCCGATCATAAGGCGATGGTCGCCGGGCCGGCTGCCGCCGAAACTTACCCCCCGTACCGCCTTCGTACGCCGGCAACTCCATCAATGGAGCCGATCTACCCGATGAGAAAAGAGATGGCGATGTAGAGAAAGAAAATATGGAGAACGAAAAGATGAAACAGGGAAAGAAAGCGGAAGAAAACCCTAGATTTCGGGATGACTTGGAAAGGGAAGAAACGACCTATGCGGATGCGGTTAGGTCTCACCACAAGCGCCGTCATCCTTTTATGTGTATTGTAGGCGTTTTTGCGGGACTAAATATGAGACCAACCAAAGAACTTCGCTTTGTGTTCATTCATGTATTTACCACGTGGCATGAAGATATTGTTTGGGTGTTAAGCGGGCTAAAATTTTGGTATTTAAATATATGTATATTTTGGAGTATTTATGGAAAGAGTTCCGTCGGAGTTGGTGCATGGATCTGATGGCCGATATACCGCCACGAATAGCCAATCCATGGAGGAGGGATGTGTAAAACTATAATTATTTTTTAATTTTAAGGTAGCTGAAAAATTAGAACATGATTTTGGGAAGCGGCGCTTCGAGGGTCAAATTGTAAATATTTGAAAGTTTAATTCTTTTGGTAAAATTTTGAGTGGGTGTTCATATTTTTTGTCATATTGAGCATAGTATAAATTTTAGTTGATTATTAATGTTTTAAATTAATTTAAAAATAATCAAATAATGATAAGCATTAATCTAATTAAATTTTGATATAAATATTATAATCCAATTTCATTTTATTTTTCTAATTTATATTGGCAGATAGGATGCAGAATAATTTGGTTTCAAGCAAACTCATTAGTGGCTCAAAACAATTAGCAAAGCATAAATGTGGATAGAAATCAACTCAAAATAAAATTGGATTGAATTCGAACAAACTCAATTTAATTTCGAGTTAGCTCAATTTGTTTTTGAGATGGCTCAAAATCCTATTGGGATCGTTTATTGCAAGAGCACAAAGAAAGAAACAAATAATAACACCTTATATAAAGATTTTAAGAGCCGAGATACACCCCATGCCAATAGTGATGCAAGATTGAAGAGACAGAGCAAATTCAAAAATATATGCATGTACATTGAGGCAAGTAACCAATTTCAAAGAAAAAGCATAGATAGGAAGAGATTTGAATTAAACCTTGCTATGGTTTATATTCTTGATAGTTGATAGACAACTAGGAGAAGAGGTGAGTATAGGAGGAACATTAAAACTTAGAAGGAAAAGGAATATTCTTGCAGATCAGAATGTCACAGTGAGGAAGAGACAAAAAGAAGAGGGGTTCATCTTCAGGCTCTAACTTTTCCAAAATGCAAGATTAAAGCGGTGTTGATGCAAAAAAATATTTATTTGGGCATGATAGATTTAGTCCAAGATTATAAATGGGTAGAAGAGAAGCTTATACATTCTATTTTGATCAAATGGTCAATATCAATATCTTGAAGGGCCACTTTGAAATTAAAAGAGTTACAAAGATGGATCTCATCTTTTGGTAGATAATAATGACTTCCATCAAATGTTCCTATCAATAATTGAAATATTATGCTTAAATTGTTCAAATAAAGTAATCATTTGATAATATTCTAATACAATAGGAAAATCAATGTTTATTTGATTTATTGAACTTTGAAACTATAACCTCTTCAATTTGGATTAAATTTGAAGCTTCTATTATAGAGGCTAAATGATGTATTATAATGTCTTATATTTACATTTGTGAGAGGTTTCTTGTTTATTAAGTGAAATTTAAGTCGATGTTTAAGACTAAGTTCACATTATTAAAATTCTAAAATTGATATTTTGTTTGTATTAATTCAAGACCAACTTTTGTACATACAAACTATTCAATTTATTTTATCAACTCCAATCTAACTTTTGAGTTTGATCTCAGATTATTGAAGACCCTGCAAGTCATTTATATGAATTCAAGAATAGTGTCAATATATTCACATTATTCATTTATAAATTAGATTTTAATTTTTAATTCTATTTTTTAAAAACTAGGGTTCGCTTACATCAACTTAGAAATGGTGATTAGTACATTCAGATTATCTAATCTAGATAATCAAAATCCAATTTAGTATTAAGACAGGATTTGACTTACCAAAATCTATTAATATTTCAATCGAGTTTAATATCTCAATTAATTTCAATAAACCCATATCTTAGTCGGACTTTGCGTGTCTATGTGTCAGGATTATATATTGATCATATTTTGGGATATTTAGATCCATTAAGCTTTTATCTCTATAGTTTTTTTTATTTTCTTCATCGCTAATCTTATACCTTGGAAGGATGTTGTCACTTTGTAGTACTCTCTATCATTATCCCCTACCCTAGTGAATTAATCATCTTGAGATGTGATTAACTTTTGAAATTTGATACTTAATTTTGAATTTTTTTCTTGCATTTGAAGGAAATATTAACTTTTAAATTGGATCAACCCACTTGGTATGTAGATTCAATTTTATAAATTTTTAATTTATTTCAGTTTATGAAAACTAATAAGTCCAAATATAACTAATTTAAGCTTGTTGGTTGGTCTTGAGACTGAGACTATATAAAAAAAAGCTATTAATATTATTCTAGTTGAGTTAAATACCACTTCATAAGGTTCTCATGCGAGAGGTGACTTTGAAACTTAAGTCACTTTTTAAAGTTGATATTTGATCTTAAAATTATTGTTCTCTCTTAAAGGAATAAAAAATCCTTAAAATTTAATGTTTAACCATAAATTCAAATTCTACTCTTTAGCATGTCCATATGTCCAACTCAATCTTAGCTTTAGCATGCCCATAGCAAGAGTAGATTAATATTTGGCACTAAGATAACTATAGGATACCAATGGATTTACAAAAACCCATTGGAGGATATTTTAATCATTCAATTGAATATCAATGAACATAAATAGCCTAAGTTTAGACCTCATATTAGCTTAACCCTAGTTGGTTCTAGTGTGCCCAACTGGTGCTATAAGTACTCAATATCTTCTCCATTAGTTCAATAATATGTTCGTGCATTATAATTAATAGTGGATCTTTTGAGCTTAACATGTAGGCCCATTTTTAAATCCTAGATCCAATTGGTGATTTTGAAAAAAAAAAATCCAATTAATTAGATAAACCTCTTTCATATGATTTTCTTCATCAAATCATATGTGAGTTGACCAATTTAGGCCAAATGGACCTATTTAACCCTATCGACCAAAACCTTCAGATAAATTAAATTAATTGAACCATTAATGTCTCAAATAAATTTCAATAGGTCAATCATACATAACTTGGCTTTAATTGGCCCTTGAATAGACCAAACGGCTCACTTAGCCCAATTTGACTCAAATTGATAGCTTAGGTTATTCTGAACAATTTGAACCATTTGATCAAAATGTGCTATTATAATCTTTAAAACTATATCAACTGACTAATCATAGTTGACTTGAGCTAAATTGAGCTTTGAATAAGCTCAATTACCTAATTGGCTCGGTTAAATTTATTAAACTAAATTGGCCAATTTAATCAAATTGACCTTCAATAAAATCTTCCAATTGACCTTAGTAGACCTCCCATAGATAGAATTGAGTCAACCATCCTTTGGTTATGTGGACCCCATGTGCCCTAAAAGCACTTAATGATTTCAGTCTAGCATGCCAAGAGACAAGTAAATCATCAGGATAATCCAAACACAAGAACATGAGCCCAACTAGTTTAAGAAAATAAATTTGAGTTATCTATGTATAAAAGCAAAAAAAAAAAAAAAACTTGATGATATGCACAACAAGCAAGCTAAGTGAGGTCAACATAATTTTAAAATAACGAAATAAATGTGTTATCTTGAAATATCCTTAAATAATTTTTTTTCAACCAAAATATTTTTAAAATAATATTTAAGACCCCGCCTATAATAAACTAAATAAAGTTTTAAGTACTGAAGATCCTAAATATGATTAAAGAAAAAATTTAGTTAATAACATACTTTTTTGACATAACTACTATTGTCTACGAATTACCACAAAGTTCTTGTAGGCCTCTATAAAGGATTATGAAATCCTATAAAGATACAAAGATTCGATATTCTGTAAAATAATTACTGCAAATCTCGACTAAAAGTTTTCAAGCCTTCAAAAAGTTTAGCGGACCTCCACTAATATGAATTTTAGGGAAGTTTTTTTAAAGCATTCAAACCATTTTGAATCCAATTAATGCTAGAACTCTCATACTTTTTTAAGGTTAACTACTAATAATTATGTTAAATAAATCAGATTATAAGTAATTTAAATAGGTTTATAAAACAGAAGGCACAAAATATAGATAGGAATACTTAACTCTATGTCAAAAACTTTTGCTCATTTTTCTAACGTTACCTTAGCCTCCTTGAGAAAATAGCCACCAAGTCTTCTTTACAAATAGTTTTCTTGTGAGTTTTCTTATAGGATCAATGAAGATATTGTGAGCTTTCCATGAGATCGCTCTTCAAAGTTTGATGTATAGTTTGCGTGATTTCTTCTTGTTGTAAGAAATTTGTGTGTAAGAATTCATTACTTTTTTTAAGCTACTAATTTTCATTGTCATTTCTTATCTTTCATTGGAGTGTTCTTGTTCAAAATGCTTGTGGGAGCTTGAATCAATGAAAGGGAAGGTTATCCCAAAAAAAGTTGGTGTAAAGACTTCACCACGTGTCAAATAAGTAACATTATTTGTTTACTATAAATTGTGCATGAAATCCTTGGTGTGGTGGACATTTATGTTTAGGCGTAATATTTACATGTTCATATGTGATTTTTTCTTCTTTCACTTTTATTTATTATTTGTATTGATCATCATTTTTTTAGCATCATGTGGTATTGTAATAATATTTGTGCTTAAATTTTGAGATCAAAAAAGTTTACAAAAAATTTAATAACTCAATTCACCCCACCTCTGGGTATGCGTAAACAAATAATTTGTATTAGAGCCTTTGCTTTAACAATATTGGTTTCACAACTAAGAGTGATCTTTGCATATTTACACTTGATGCAATAATTTTTTTTAATTGCCAAATAATTACACTTTTGATAAAATTAGCTAGGTTGTTTCACCACATGGCCACCCCTACTTGATGAAATTCCATTTTAATTTGCATTTATAATATTGTGATATGCATATTTGAAATATCATCTTAAAAGGGAAAATTTTTCTTATAATTAGTAAAGATTGTAAGGATGTTTGACTGC